AAAAAAAATTCATTTCTTAAAAAATATCACTCAATCGTTATCGAATAATAGTTTATTGCCTGAGAGATATATTTTATTATAGCTATAATCTTACAATCAGAAACCATACTACACAATAAATTATTCTCGATAAAAATAGTTGTATAATCTATCAAATAAAGAAATTTTCGCTTACCAAAACGTTCTTCAATCATTAAGTTTTTCTAATTGATTTCTAGTCAACTAAAAATAATAAAACAATATTTTATGAAATTTAAATATTGTGGCATACCTTGATCAATATAATATAGATTTTAATATTGAAAAAAATTAACGAGTATATATAGTTGAGTGTCTCTTTCACGAGTACGAAAGAGAAGTTTACAATTTATTGAAGAACGAAAAATAAAAAATTTATTATTGGAGAATTCGAAATCCACAGAAAGGTGATATCGAACCACCACCACCACTGCTTAGAAAATAAGTGACATCTACCTGTCGAACGATACTATATAATATAAATATTATTATCTGTGTTATTATACAAGGATATTATTAGTACCCCAGTTTGAAATAATAAGATCAGTATTATTGTCCTTATTGAGAAAATTATTGCTAACAACAATTGAGTCGGGATTATTATAAACTACAGCCGGAAATGTTATTTGAGTATGAAAAATTTCATAATTATTTGCAAGTATTATAATGGTTTTATTTGTTTTTTCGATTTGAATCTAGTAAACTGGAACTTTTAATTGGATGAAAGTAGTATTTATGACCTTGATTCAACTTTTTTCCCGCTAATACCGAGCTATTAGTATATACTTTTAAGAATTGACAGAGATATTTGCACGAATGCACTAGAAATACTTTTAATGACTTTCTAGTTTTTTTTGTACTTGCGATAGAGAATTATGTCAACATTCTTTTAAAATAAAAAAATATATGTCAATTTAAAAAGATTAATACAAGCATAAAGTCATGATAAGAATATATACCGTTAAGGTGCGTGATATCTAAACGTTATTCTTTTCTTTCATCCTATTAAAAAGTCTTATTTCAAAAAAACAAATGCGCAAATAAGCGACTATTTCATTAATCTATCGTGATATATAAAGATAGTTAATCGTGCATGTTAATGAGTGCACGTCATCTGAAAGTACTGAGAAATAAATTTCATATATATATATATATGGAGCAGAGAAAAAACATCATTTTATCAAAAGTTAATATTAAAGAGAGTAAAAAAACAAAATTGAAATGTCTTCATCATATATATCATCACTCAATGATGCAAGTAAACAAATAACCATTTATGTAGGTATACCAACACTTATTGCAGGTATTCTTGGTGGACTTCTCAATACAATTGTCTTTCTTAGTCTTCGAACTTTTCGAGAAAGTCCATGTGCATTCTATTTAACTATTATGTCAATTGTCAATGTTGGTCAAATGATTACCGGTTTACTTGCTCGTATTTTAACGAGTGGTTTTAATATTGATTGGTCACTAACATCTCTATTCTATTGTAAATTTCGACTTTATTGTTTTCAAGTATGTGCATTGATATCAATGACTTGTATCTGCTTGGCAATTATTGATCAATATTTGATTACTTGTTCTCGTCAACGATGGCAACAATGGAGTAACATGACGATAGCTCGTTGTTTGTCAGCAATATTTATTTTGATTTGGATACTTCATACTATTCCTTATCTAATCTATTATAATCATGTCATATCAAATACTACCAGCAAAGTAACGTGCATAGTTACAAATAATACCTTTCAACAATATGTTACCTTTGGTCTTATTTTCATTATTGGAAAATTATTACCTATCTGTATGACATTCTTGTTTGGAATTCTAGCATATCGTAACTTACGACAAATGAGTCATCGAGCATTGCCTATTGTTCGACGTGAATTAGACAAACAGTTAACAGTGATGGTCTTAGTGTTAGTTGTCTGTGCTTTTTTTATGAATATGCCATATACTATTGTATATCTTCTAACAGCAATGCCACAACTCACTCAAAATCCAATTATTGCAGCACAATTACAATTTGCTTCTAATGTGACTACCTATCTAGTTTATATGTACTTTGCAGTGAGTGTATTAACATCAAACTTTTCTAAAAAACCAAAGCATCGTAATTTTTTTCTTTGTTTAGAGTCCATTTTATATATTTTTGTGTGTATCCGATCGATTTCGTCGACAACTCATCTATGTATTGTTTGATGTATATTTGAATAAATGGCGACAACAACGTCAAATACTAGTCAATAAAGTGAAACCACAGTTAACATGACTGTCAAGAATTTTGACAATACTATTTTCGAAAATTCTTTTGAATGTTGTACTATTATTGTGATTATAGTCATTTTTAAACTATTTAAAAATAAGAACAACTATTAATTCATGCATTATAATTAAACATGAGATTTTTGAGAATATATTTTTTTCATTTTATAATAAACATAAGAAAAAAAATTATGCATTATTTCGAGCACAAAGAATGTCTTATCTCGAGGGTGTGAGTGTGAGTAAAAGAAGAGTAACACCCACACCCACACCATTTTACTGATCCTGAATAACTCTATTTTCGTCTGTTATTTTATAAGAGATAAATCAATTTTCAACAAGTTTTTATTTACTTTTATTTGTCATGCGGAGGTTGGTGTGCAATATATTGACTGAAAATTATAATAGAAAAAAAAATCTTGCAAATAATAATAACAATCAAATACTACACCAGGATTCAAGATGCAGTGTTATGTTTTCTTTTTGTATCGGAGAAGAATACAGATCTCATATAAATGTTAATTATTTGCGTCGATGAAAGTAAAGAATATATGAAAAAAAGCATTTGCATAGAAATCAATATTAATGATGGTTGTACGATATACTCAAAATCCGCGACTCAGTGAATGGGACATGCCTGAACATGATGAATTTCAAAGTCGAAATATAATTTGTAGAAGCGCTGCAGATGTGAGCATAGATGCTGATCGATCTGAGTCAAGTGATTTAGAGACGAAAAAGTAAGTATGATTTATGAATGATTTCAATAATTTGTCTTTGTATTTCTATATGAAAGGCCGAAATCAACATGTAAATGTGCAAAATATTGTGAATCATATATGTCACCCTTTCTTAAAGGTATAATAGTGGGCGTAGCCATGAATATTTTGTCATTGATTGCTGTCCTTTTACTATGGCTGGTACCGCGTCATTATGCAGGAATAGTCGTAACAAATGGTAATTACTTGCTTTGACATGTCATTTTTACTCATTTAGTATTGAGTTAGTCATAGTATATTTTTCAACATTTAAACGGTTCTCATTTTAGAGCTTCCTCCGGGTACTATTCTTTTATATAGCGGTAATTTAACAATTTTGAACGGATCAACTTTTCGTTGGTTACTCTGTGATGGATCAGAAGTATCTCGTACGATCTATCAAGACTTATTCGAAGCAATTGGTATTACGTATGGATCAGGCAATGGAAATGATACCTTCAATGTACCTGATTTTCGTAGTCGATTTCCATTGGGTAGTAACAGCACCTATAGCAGTTCATTAGTTGCTGGTGGTGCATCAACACATGTCATAAGTATCGCAGAGTTACCTACACACTCGCATACTCAAGGTTCTCTACAAACACTCTATAGTGGTGTACACACACACGCGATTGTCGATCCTGGACATAATCACGGAGGATCGACAGGCACTGGTCCATTTTCTGGTGGCAGTTATTCTATGATTAACGGTGGTGGTGCAGGTAACGATGGTGGAGCTCATAGTCATTCGATTCCTGCCGGCGCTACTGGGGTGACAATGCAGTCGGATGGAAATCATAATCACACAATACAAGGTTCAACAGATACAGAAGGTTCCAGTCAAGCAATGGACAAGATGCCACCTTATCAAACGGTTCATTACATAATTCGTGCTTAAAAAGACAACATATATCTCAATTCTATTTCAAAAACTATTTTCAATGTTATAAACTTTCGAAAAACATTTTTGCACAAGTCATTCTATTGTTGTGCTATGCTTTTTTATTTCTTATTAACCAAATTTTTACTGTTTTTATCCAATATATATTTCTATGAAATATAAAAAACTCCAGAAACCATTTCTGTTTCCAGAATTATGAATATTTTATTGAATATCTAGCCTATAGTACAATATTTCTTGAAAATCAAATGATGTATAAGAAAACACATTATTGTCAAGTATTCTAAGACATACTGGAATCTATGTCAGATATAGATTTTAAGATCTAAAGCATGTTATTAGAGATTTTATATTAATATAAAAGAGAAGGCAAACAATCTACTAATTATAATTAAAGTGGTGACAAGCAAAATGTTATGTAAAAAGAATCAGAATATATTTTTTTCTTAGAAAGTTTTATCCACAAATATTACGAAGATGTAACAGTTATGATGATGATAAAAATAATGTCATAAGATTGAATTCTTATATCTGAATAAATCTATTCTAAATTATTTAGCTTATGCGTGTGTTTGTTAAATATAATCAGATATATATATATATTGCGTAGAAATTATTGTTTGAAATTTTGATTAAAACTTATTTTTGTCTTATGTCGCAAGCTATGATAATTTTGTCTTCAGTGTATTCAGTTCTTGAAATTTTTTCAAAGGTAATAGACATAAAATGTATCTGATAAGAAAACATGCTTTTTATTATTTCGTTTTTCTAATGAAACAAACAAAAAAGAAAAGTGAAGATCTTTCGTTTCTTTTGCAATGAAGTAAATTTCAGCATCATATATACGTTTATTTTGTGTGCACTTATTGTATCTTGACTAAGTGTACTCCTTCTCTGCAAAATACAAAATTGGAAAAAAACAACTGGATAAAAGACGAAAGAAGAAGCCAAAAATTTCATTATTTTGCACAGATAACAAAGGAAGTATCCCGAGAAACAAACTGACGATAACATTTACAACACGAAAACTAAAACTACAAATTCACATGAGTCTTATAAGTCTCTCCATCTGTTTAGTTTCAATAATTCTGATTGTGGTGAGTTTTTATTAAAATATTTTAGAGATCGAACTATTGTATTTTAAATAGCATGTATCTGATATAAATATGATCGGAATACGAGTATAGAACAGGATAGCAATAGAATCGCTAAATAGTTGGTGATTCTATGCTAGCGATCTCTATGTACATATTTAACATAGAGATATTGTTGGTCAGCCTTTTCACTGATCTTTATGAAAACGTAGAGAGAATCGACGTAACAGGGAAGGAGTATTGTGATCGAGAAAGTCTCCATATCGAAATCGTTGGTATCAGAGTTTGTCACGAATCTGAAGAAGTGAGACACGAACAGATTCATGACAAATATCTTCACATAAATTACGATCGATTTCTATCGGATCTAAAGAGAATTCGTTGAGCTTTTTTTCTTCGTAATATAATAGTGTAGAAAATAGCTTGACAGTTGATCTACGACGTTGAGAACCACATCCCAGATTAACTTGTGCTGACTATAGATACTGAAAGAAATATAACTGATAGATCAGCAAAAAGATGTATAAAGAATCCACCCTGAGGTTATGAATGTGGGTGAATGCCTTTGTTTGGAGTCCATGTTATATATTTTTGTGTGTATCCGATCAATTTCGTGGTCTTGGTGGAAAACATCGAAAAGGAAAACGTCGAAAGAGAAAAAT